GAGCCCCGCCCAGGCGCCCCGGAGCGCGCGCAGTCAGTTCTGCCCCTGGCCCCACAGCGAGCGGCGCTGACGCTGGTGTAAATTCCTTCCGAGTTTCTTCCGCGTGAAGTTTCTGAGTCCCATTCCCATTATGCCGTGTACCCAGACTTCGCTCTTTTTGGTTTTTCTTGCTGTTGATAAAATGTTCGGTTTTTTATGAATTTACCACAATTTCCTTTTTCACTTTTTAAAAATTTTATTTTTATCAGCACCTATTTGCAGTGCGTAATGATTGCGTTCATTGTGCGGAATCGGCATGTGCACAACACACATCCGAATTATTTTATGATCCTTTTCTTCCCTCTCTCCCTCCCGTCTCTTCAAGAATATTCGGGAATGCTTCCGGCATCCTGCTATCATGACGAGCGTGAGTATCGGGGGATGCCTATTTCTGCTGTGTGTGCTTCCGCACCTTCAACTGAATTTTATGGCTCCTAAGGTAGAAGTCTGTTTAGCTTCCTAAATTGCCATTTTCCCCCCAAATAGTTACTCCATTTAATATCCCCTCAGTACTGAGTTCGCGTTGTTCCATGTCCCAGGGACTCGGACTTACTGTTTCTCTCGGTGGCCATTCAGATGGACGTGGACGAGGGGCTCGGCACAGACGGTGGCCTTCGGAGGCGGTATTAACGTGGCCCTACTTGCGTGTGCGTGCTGGCTCTTCAGATGATCTCTTCTGTGGCATGTGTTCAGTCCTCTCTTACCTTTCCCTTAGCAGTTTGCTTTGTACTTATTGAACTGTAGGAGTTGACACATGCTAGAAACAAGCCCTTTTTGCTAGCTAAACAAAATATATTGAATATTTTCTCCTAACCTGTTTCCTTTTTCTTAATATAGTTTGAATTCGTTTTTAACTTTGGTGTATACCGATTTTTCAGGGTTTCTTTTGTTCACTGATGATCAGTATTTTTTTCCCTGTGGAATCCGCCCCAAGGTCATGGGAGAGCCTCCTTACAGTTACAACTTGCACCTTTGGACCTCCGGGTCACCTCGTGTTTCATGTGTCAGTGCAAGTCAGGAAGTCCATTTTTTGTTGTTGTTGTTGCTGCTGTTATACAAAGAAATAATTCAGGCACTATCTGTTGATATTCAGCCCTCACTGAATTACCTTGACACCTTTGGTACAACCAGTTGACTCCATTTGTGGAAACTGATATACCAATTTTACCCTGATGGGATTGCTTGTAGGTTTATGTTAACTTTGAAATGAAGGACTGAAAGTCTTCCAGCTTATTTCTTATATGATAGAGGAAAGGAAAGAAGGGAATGGAATTAATATGAGAAAATGAAAAAAATGGAAATAAAGTCTTTGTAAATAGAGAGGGGTAGAAGGGAGGGCAGGGGAAGTAGGGAAAATAAGAATCAAAATGCATCATGTAAAGGTAAAGATCTCCGATGATGAATGTCATTATGTTGTATACCTAAAATGTACCAATAAAATTTTTTTTTAAAAAAGATTGTTTTGTTTTGTCCAGGTCCTCTACATTTCCATACAAACTTTAGAATCAGTTTATTCACTCAGAATAATACCTGGGGATATTCATTGGAATTGCATTGAATCTGTCAATAAATTTGAGGAGAACTCACGTTCTAGAAAAATTGAGTTTTACAAGCTAAGAACATGATATAAATTTCTGTTTACTTAGGTCTTCTTTAATTTCTCTCCAAAATGTTTTATAAATTCCCTTCATTAAATTTACTATGCATATGACATTTAAAAATATTATTCCCTGCTGACTTGTATTTTACAATATTGCTCCCTTCACACATTAATGATGATAGAATTTTCTGGGTTTTTTGTAGACTTTTTTATTTTTCTATCTAAAATCTTGTGACTTACAAAGTCAACTTTATTTTTTCTATCTGTATTTTTTTAATTTTTTCTACCTGAATTTTATTTTTATTAGTGCATGTTTGCAGTACATAATGTTTACATTCCTTGTGTGGAGCTGGTACATGTGCATAACACATCTTTTTCTGTTGTTTTTTTTAGTACTGGGGATCAAACTTGGGTCCTTGCGCTTGTGAGGCAGGCAGCAGAACCACTGAGCTGAAACCCCGGCCCTACATAGCACATCTTAATTCCTTTTTTTATCCCTTTTCCTTCCCTTCCCTCCATCTCTCAATCTCCTTCCCATTCGAGAAAGATCTCTCTACTTCTTGTTATCTATATTTTATTTTGCTCTTTATAATTTGGGTGCTCATATAAGAGAAACTGAGGTATGTAAGCTTGTGTGTCTGATCTATTTAACTTAATATCAGGGTCTCAAGGTGCATCCACGTTCCTACAAATGGCTCAAGTGTACCCTTCTTCATGGCAGAGCAGTGCTCCACTGTGTGTAAATACATTCTTTCTCCATTCCTCTGTTGATGAACATCCAGGCTGCTGCTGAGATTTAGCTTGCTAGGAGCACTGTAAAGTAAATCACCATGGCCAGGCCTACCTCGCCTCTTCCCAGGATGAGGCAGGGCCCCGTGTGGAACAAGGAACACACATCTTGTTCACTTCCCTTCCTGGATGAGGCCGGCCCCAGGGGAGGACAACAGGCAACAAGAGGATTTGGAGGAGCAAGACCTGGCCAAGAAGAGGACTGTCTGTCCACCCATTCTCCAGAGAACCACCAAGCATGATGTCCTGCAGACCTTACCTGCTCCCCTGGCTCCCGTTACAGACCAGCCCCTTCCACCTCCTCCTGCACTTCCTCTATCTCTAGCACTGTAAATAAATGCAATGGGTTTTTCCTCCCATCAGGAGGAAGAGCCCCCTCACCCCCCTCTTAGTTCTCTTTGTCTTTTCTTCATCTTCTACCTTTGTTTCTCTGTGGGCCCTTCGGCGATGCGGGCCGTGGCATTAGCTATTGTGAGTGGCGCTGCCATGTACGTGGGTATACAGGTACCACTGTAGCAAGACGTCTTTAACTCTTTGAGAAGAAATACGTAAAGGGGAGCATCTGGGTCAAATGGGATTTCCAGTTTTAGTTTTTTGAGGAGGCTCCATACCAGTCTCCATGGTGCTTGTACTAGTTTACACCCCTCCAACAATGAAGAAAGGCTCCTTCTCCCCTGCACCTCACTGGTAGTTGTTGTTATTTGACTTCTTGATGACAGCCACTCTTTCTGGAGTGGATGGAATCTCAGTGCTGTTTTAATTTGCATTTCTCTAATGGCCATGATGCTGAGCATTTCTTCATGTATTTATCGGCCACTTGTACTTTCTCTGTGAAGCATCTATTCATTTCACTTGCCCATTTCTGATTGGGTCTTTTACTTTGGGGCATCTAATTTTTTTGAGTTCTTTGCAGATATTAGTCCTCTGAGGAATAGCTGGCAAAATTTTCTCTTTCTCATTGTATAGACTGTCTTTTGGCTCTGCTTCCTTTGCTTTTTAATTTGATGAGATCCCATTTGTTGATTTTTGGCATTATTTCCTGTGCAACCAGGGTTCTGCTCAGAAAGTCCTTGTCTATGCCTAGGACATCAAGAGTTTTACCTATTTTATCTTCCAGAAGCTTAAGTGTTCCTGGTTTGACATTTAGTTCTTTGATCCATTTTTATTTTAATTTAGTGACAGATATGGGTCTAGATTGAATCTTTTGCAGTGGATAGCCAGTTTTCCCAGTCCTATTTATTCAAGAGGCTGTATGTTTTTGGCCCATTTGTCAAAGATCACATAGTAAATGTGTTTGGAGTTATTTCTGCTTCTTTGATTCTGTTCCATTGATCTTCATGTCTGCTTTTGTACTAGTACCATGCTGTTTTTATCACTGTAGCTTTGTAATATAACTTCAAATCCAGGATTGCAATGCCTCCCTCTTTACTCTTATTACTCAGGATTGTTTTTTGCTATTCTGGGTCTCTTTTTCTTCTGTATGACTTTTAGGATTGCTTTCTCTAGTTATGTGAGGATCGCTATTGGTATTTTGATTGGGATTGTCAGGATTGTGTTAAATCTGTGTGGCATTTGGACAGCATTTGATTTTGC